ATCACCGTTGCCGGTGTGGACGTCGTCGTCGGTTCGACTCCCGATGTTATCGTCGTGAGCAGACTCAGCATCACTGCTGTCGTTGTCCGCATGGCTCTCATCTCCGTCGGCAAGAGGACCGAAGGAGCCGATCGATGCTGCTGCTGTTTGTGCTCGACGGGGTTGCTATTAAGCCCGCGGAAGCACCACCAGCATTCTGTCCAGCGCGCCTCGCCTTATGCTGTCCCTTTTCGGGCTTAGCGGCGGGCTTTGCTGCGGCTGTAGCAGCATCAGAGCGTTGCGACTTCGGCGGCTGTTGATTTTGGTTTTGCGTATTTGCTTTCTTTTTGTTGCCTCCCATGTTTCAGACTTGGGTTACGGCGAAAAAGAAAAACGCTTCGTCGAACGCCAATATGGATGCCCTCTACTCTGNCTTTATGTACGTGTGTTTGTGCTTCCTGAATCTCCATATCCTGACCTCCACATATCATTTCTTTTATATTTTCTTAATATCACACAACAAATCCATCTCTATCTATGGGAACGAGTCTAAGATAGATTAGCAATGAATCTATAGCGTGAACGAAAGGCTACCTGTATGTCCACCGTTTCCCAGACAGCATACAACGATATCTCCCCTGTGGGTAACAGGCTCAAAAAGGCAGTTTGGTAGCCATCTTGTGTATCTATCTGTATGATATGTTCGGAAGTTGTAGACGGAAGATTTAGGGGAACTCGGTTTGTCTGGTGTTCTATTATGGCACCCTTATGTGGTTGCGGAGCAAGCGCGTCTCGGGGTGTGTATATTTTCGTCGTCAACTTATTTTTTGTTTGTGACGTATGGGGGTATGTGCGGCGCGGGAGAACATATTTACCTTGTTGTGTAATGGCATGTCGTTAAATGTGAGAAGGGCACGGGAGAACATTTTCTCATCATTGCCTCCTGACGTGGCCGCCGAGGCGTGTGGTTGAGGTTTCATGACTGACACGTGGGTGTGTGTTAAATGCAGTGGGTATGGTCGCCTCTCTCGCCCGTGTGTCGGCAGAAGGTATTACTACCTTTCCCATTTATTTGTAGGCCGCGCGGACCGTAAGTAAAGACAGAGTGTATCATTTCATGCATCTACATCATTTGTATGTNGCGTGTGGTTGAGGTTTCATCACTGACACGTGGGTGTGTGTTAAATGCAGTGGGTATGGTCGCCTCTCTCGCCCGTGTGTCGGCAGAAGGTATTACTACCTTTCCCATTTATTTGTAGGCCGCGCGGACCGTAAGTAAAGACAGAGTGTATCATTTCATGCATCTACATCATTTGTATGTTGTTGTTGTTGTTGTCTTCACACTAAAAACCGTCCGATCTCTCTCTACCCAGTACCTTCGTATGTCCGTACTGATCCAACACTCGACGCGGTCGAGTCCCGTGGTCGCAGCCTAACTTACCCTAAAAAGGTACACTCAAACATAATTGCCCCGAAGGGTCCGCAAGTCAACAGAAATCAACATGGTTTGTACCCTATGTTTGTTTTGTTTCCCCGCGGCGTCGTTTGTGCCGGATTTTGAGACCACGGGCTCCCCATTTTTCGTGGACTATACTGGCTGTAGAGCTATAATGTGAGAAACAACGACAACCACAATACTGCTGTAGACTATACCAGATACAATCCGTTGATATAGTCTGTATCGGGAGAGCAGTACACAACAACTTGTTGTTTGTATTGATATGCATTGCAAAGAGCAACACATCATTGAACATCTCATCGATACATATCGTGAGAATCAAATGCTTTTCCGTCGATGTATTGCATCATATTGACCCGTGTAGCACTTTCCAACATGTGGAGGAATGGACTACCGATTGGTCAATAGACTATACTAGTCTATGTATTGTAGAAAAATGCTACCGTATGTTGATCCAGAGGTAGATTCACGAACTGCCAATTGATGCATATTCCCAGAACTCTACCCTCGCAAGAAAACATATATATCAATGCGTATTGCATCCACCAGTACGTGAAGTATTACGATAGGAACGTATCGATATGCATGGACTGTATTATTGTCTTGTCCAGGGTGTTTCTCCCTTCTTCCCCTCGCTCCTCGACAAGCTTTTGCTTAGACATGGGTTGTAGTGAAGGGGGGGGTCTTTCTGGCGAGCAGGGCTAGA